TTCAAGCCCAAGTTGCATATACTCTCTCTCTCTCTCTCGCTGTTAGTAACAGTGCTGCGCCGACCTCGCTCGATAGTAAGTTTTCAAGTGAAACGAACGATCGCCTGTTAATAACAGTGCCCTAAGCTCGGCTTGCATATGCTCTCATTCGCACGCTGCTCGAACTCGCTGTTAACAGCCGATTTGAGCTCTGCTGCGCTGACCTCGCTCTTCTCTGCTTTTCGTTCAGTTCAAGTCAAGTTTTATGCGTCGCAATTGAAGCCCAAGTTTGCTCAACAATAACAACAACAGCAGCGAAATCCCTTGAAGCGTTGCGTTTTTCACCATTGTTTATTTTATTTTGTATATTTTTTTGCTTTTGCGTTTCGGCTTGTTTGATTTGGCTTGCTCACCTTCGGCTCAACGAAAGGCAGCGACAGCGACAGCGACTGCGACTGCGGCGGCAGCGCCAGCGGCTCGTGCTGTTACATTTGAATGAGCACGTCGCTGCTTTTGTTGCTGCTGCTGCTGCGCTGCCTTGGCATAGGGGGAGTTTGCGGGCAGCAGTGTCGCCGTCGCCGTAGTCATTTATCACCGGCCTCTTTTTGCCCAGTCTTGGCTCGACCGTGCGTCCGACCGCCCGCCCGCCCGCATTCACCATAAATATCATATTAAATATTTGCCATAGAATCGTCGTCAGCAGCAACGTTTGCATTACCGCCAAATGTTGTCTGTTTATCTCGCCTAGTTATTGTTTTGCCGTTGTTCACGGGCTGTGCTGGTTGGAGGGGGGGGGGGGGGGGGGGGGAGAGGGGATAGGGGGGGGTAGGGGGTTGCAACATTTGGCAAGACGGTGGTTGTTGTTAACTTTTTGTGGCATTGCCAGTTGATTGGATTGCCATGAGATGAATCAGAGAGTGTCAATGTGTGTGTGTGCGTGTGTGTGTGTCCTTCTGTGTGTGGCATGTGATTTATGAGTCCCCAGCGCTGATATGGGATATAGGATAAGGCCATACAAAAGATACAATGTGATTAGCTGCGAGGGTGCTGCCAATAGAAACCAAGTTCCGAGCACTTCACATAAGAATCCATGCGAGTTGCGTAATTCACAAGTCATTCCCGTTTTTTTTTTTCACACGGATATCGAAAGAGTGCATTAAGTTAGGGTAGATTTCTTTCAAACATAAAGCATCGATACCCTAGGTCCTGAATAACCGATTAGCTGATTGAGTGCCTGATGATTATCATTATTTTTTTTTTGGGGTAGCTGGCTTTTCGGATGCACGTGAAAACTAAGATTGAGCTATTCCACACATTTTCCACCAGCACGCGTGGAATTTAACAGCGCGCAATGGTGGAAATAGCGTGAAATGTCTTTTGGCTTTTTTAAAAATCTTTATGAAATTACTTTAAGGAAATACCCTGGGCAACTCGAGATGTTTATATATCAAAAGTATATATATATATATATATATTAAAAGCCAAAGGGGAGAGGGAGAACTAAGTTGGCTTTGGAGAAAAAAAACTTGCCACCTCTCAACAATATCAATTCCAATTTGTTTTCACAATTCTCAGCGAAAGCAAAACCTTAATACGGAATATACATTAAATTTGATATTCAATAAACATTAGCATGCAAACTCCGGAGGATCAAATATTTACCTGCGGCTTTGAGGTGTTTGGCGAGGTGCAGGGCGTGCGAATGCGCAAAGCAACCCGCTCGCTGGCCCTGGCGAATGGGGTGCGCGGCTGGGTGATGAACACGGATCGCGGGACTGTTACCGGCGAGCTGGAGGGCACACTACCAAAGGTGAACGAGCTGAAGTTCTGGCTGCTCTGCTTTGGCAGCGAGAAGGCGGTCATCGAGCGGGCCGAGTTCACGCCCACAAAGGAGATACCGGTGCACAGTTTCGATAGCTTTACCATACGCTATCATCCAGATCGGCGGGAGGAGCCCCAGCTCGTCTAGAGTTCAGAGCACAGGTTTGACGTGCATGTCTCGGCAAGTTTTGGCGTTGACAAAATTAATTGATTGTTGATCGTTTGTGTGTGTGTGTGTTGTACATGAATTAAACCTGGTTCAGATCCCGAGCAACTAGCCCCCATCTCGAACATCATTTATAAAACTCAAACACGCTGCCAGCCACTAATTAAGCATTGCCATCGGACGCGCACTCAGGCCAAGTATCTAAAAGATACACATATACATTCAGATACATATATATATATATATACATATATCTTTATATCTTTGGACGGGCACACACCTGCAGCCTCTGGCTGGGCCGCATTTCCAGTTGAGCGCCGCCCCGAACTGGCAATGAGTTTTTACGAGGCAACATCGAAGCAACAGCTACAGAAAACAGAGCCATAGAAATGGCTGCCATTGTCGTTGCCCCTGCCACCAACGTCTCCGCCAACATCCCCTCTCCGTCTGTGTCTCCGTCTCTGTCTCTGTCTCTGGCCATGCCACCACATGACGAAATCGCCGGGTAGCACGATTTCGCACGAGGTGTGCTGGGCATTGCGTATCCGAAAGGTACACAACTAAACCCATGAGATACACCATAAAAATGGAAACAGTTTATCGAAAGATTAATTTATATTATCAGTATTAGAATACAGGTTTATGACATTTCTACAGTAAGGCGCTATTTGGTGGTTCGAACCAGCAACCTTCTTCAGTTAACCGAATGTCCGACTCAGAGCAGTAGGTTATTTTTATCAGTAGGGGATATAGTCATAAGCTACTTATGTTACGGTCTAAATAACATCCTGGTCCGAGTTAACCTAGGTTTGAACCAGCAACTTTCTCAGTCAGCCTTGATGGATGATATGAGGATGGAGATAACTCATCTATGTTATAAATAACAAAGCGATTCGTTGAGGAAAAATATTTGCTTAAATCCTATAAGATATTTATAAATATATTACATATATTTAAAGGGTATAGTACAGGCCATAACTTTTGGTTGTTCATTTATATTCAGCAATATTAGCAGAAGAAATATTTCAAAATGTTATTTTTCTTTTTAATATTTGGTTCACATATTCTTTAAAATTTTTAGATGTTAAATACATTTTTTTTGCCAGGGTGTCTGCAAGTCGCGCACGCTTGTCCATTGCATATTTTATATGCTGCTCATGTTGTTGTTATTGTTTTTAAGTACTCAATGCCCTCCATGGGTCGCTGGCTACAGCGCGACGCCGACGTTGGCGCTGGCGCTGACGCTCATGCACTGCGCATAATCACAACAAAATCAAATAAATGAACGGCACTGACAACAACAACAACAGCAACAGCAACAGCAACAGCAACCACAGCAACAGAGGCAGCAACAGCTACAGCAATAACAGCAACAGCTTCGTAACAGAACAACGGCGCTCACGTCGTTGCGTATTTGCGCGCGCGTCTGTGTGTGTGTTAGCAACTTCGTTGCGTGCGTAACAGGCGCGCAGAGACACAGAGCAGCAACAGTAAACGCAACAGCAGCGCCAACATTTTCCATGCTGCTGCTGCAGTCGCAAACCTGCTGCCTTCGTCGCTGTTGCTGCGGCATTTTTATAGGTTAAACTGCAAAGTGCGTGGCAGAGTGTGCCAAAGATGGCCTGGGGGGCGACGCAAGGGTGGGCTGAAGCTTGGCTATGGCTCTTACTAGTTTCAGCCGGCCGGTGTCGTTGGCATTTTGCTAGCGAGAGCAGCAGCGAGTGAGAGAGAGAGAGAGAGAGAGAGAGAGAGAGAGAGGGAAAGAGAGTGCAAACATTACACTCCTGAGCAACGCTGCGTCGGCTCTCGTTCACCGTCTCTCTCAGTCGCTGCCGCTGTCGCAGTCGTTGTTGCGCTGCCGGGCTTTGAGTGATTCTTGCCTTGGGCTGCTGTTATTGCTGGCAGGAGCTGCCAGCATATTTTTTGAGACATTCCTTTGCGCATACCGCGCGCGCGTTGCTAGCCACGCGTCGCTGCCGGCGTCGCAGCACTGCTGCTGGCTGCGCTGCCAGCGCTTCCGGTGTCACTTCCTTATTTAGTTGTTTACATTGTTGTTGCTGTTGTTGCGAGGGTTGTGAAACTCGAGCGCTTGTACCCACTGTTCCCACCCGACAGCTCCTCTGGCGCGTCCTTGTTACACTTACCAAAGCTAGCAGGGTGTGGGGGGTGGGGTGTGTGTCGTAAGACGAGGCAGCAGAACATTTCAACTTAATTTAACAGTCATCAAATGGAATTCAATTTGGCTGAAAGGCGCACAGAAACGAAGGCGCACAAAAGCTTAACCCCAGCCTCACTCTCCCCTCCGCCTACCACCGCAGCACCTGCCGAAGTATTGTCATTAGTCGCTTTATTATTGCGGGCTATTATGTAGTAATCAAATTTATAGCACACTTTGCAACACTCACACACACGCACAGAGTAGCTACATGGAAAACAAGTCGGAAAACTTTTATGACGCCAAAAAAAAAAAAATAAATGAATAAACAACAGACAATATTATAACAATAAATGGGCAAAAAGAAAATGGAAATTGAAAATGAGTTGAGTGGCACACACACACACACATACACTTTGCACAAATATTTGTGTCATTAAACAAATGACAAACGAATTGGTTTTAACATGAAAGCGGCAGCAGGCAGCAGGCAGCGACGCTGGCAGCGAAGTCAGCGCTGACATGCAACAGCGACAACTGATAAGCCAAACGGCGACGCGCTGTTAAAGGTAACAGACAGACTTAACATAACAGCTTGACAGCTTGCAGCCACCCCCACAGTTACACACACGCACACACGCGCGCGCACATTTTACAGCGCTGAAAAATTCGCTTGGCTGCCTTTGCTGCTGCTGCCGCTGCTGCTGCTGCTGCTGCTGCGCTGCAACAATGCAAACGCAAACTTTCTCGCTGCTGGCGTCGCTGCCAACGTCAACGTCAACGGTCTCTGTCCGCATTCGGTTCGTGCTGCTTCGCTGGCAACGGCTCGTGCCAGTTATAAACCGACTGCCAAACGACTCACGACAGCAGCAGCAGCAGCAGCCGCAACTGAAAGCAACAGCAGCAAAAACAACAACAACGGCAGCAGCAGCAAATCACAAGCCGCAAGCAAAAGAAAAGCGACGCTCGCTGTGCGTTTAAAAAGAAAATAATAATAATAATAATAAAAATAAAATTACAAAAAACAACAAATAAACATCAAGTGCAAGCGGCTAAAAAGTGTTTACACAACAAAAGCAACAACAACGAAAATAACAACAACAGCAACAAAAGGCAAAATATTTTCATAGAAAATCGAATCAGTTACAAGTGCAACATTTTACGAATATTTTAAAAATTTTCTTTAAAAATGCAAGTTAAATAATTTGGCGAAAAATTTACCTCTTTTATTTTATGCAAAGAAAATTGTTTAAAAATATCTGGAAACATTTAAAAACAAACATAAATAATAAAAAATAAAATAAAAAATATTAAAAAATATGGAAATAAAATAATGTAATCAATACAAATTAATTAATGAAAAATACATTTGTATAAAAAATTAAAATAATATAAAATCAATAAAAAATAAAAGATAAACAAAAAAAATTATACATGCTCAAAAATATTAAAAAAAAAAAAAATAGTTCAAAATAAAAATGTAATAAAAAATTAAAAATATTAAAATAATACGTAAATACCTTAAACAAAAAATAATTGTAAACAGATTGAAAAATAATTTCAAAAAATCGCAAATAAATATTATCGATATCAATAAATATAATAAATAAATAAACAATAAATATTATATTTATTATATAGTTATAAATTAAAACATTATGATTAAAAAAGCGTAAAAAAACAAGTTTAAATCTAGCATAAATTTTCTTATAAAAAAACAATTCATTGAAATTTATGCGAATGTTTTTTTTCTTTGGGTAATTTCCCAGCGACGGACACCAAAAATATTTTGCATAATGTTTTGATTTTTATTTGTTTTTGTTCTTTTTTTTTCTAAAGAATTTTCGGGCCTCTAGAAATGTTTTCCCTGTATTTGTGTGTGTGTGTGTGTGTGTGTGTGTGTGTATTTATTTGACATTTGTATTTCCCCTGAGAAATTATGCATGGCGAATGCAAATTTATTAGCTGCAGACTCATTAGATAACCCCCCAACACATCTCTTCCTCCGCTCTAGCGCACCGCTCTCTGCCAACCCCTCCTCCCCCCTTCCCCCCCTCGCTGCCTCCGTCTCAAAGTCTGTTTTTCCAACGCGAGCGAAATTAAAAAACATAAATCAAAATATGCTAAATAAATCAACGAAAATTGCGCAAAAAGTGCGGACAATCTATTTGAATTTCAACCCCTCTGCCCCGACCACACACCCGCCCCATCCTTCCAATCATTCTGTGCCCCCCCCTCCAGCCCCTCTGCACCCTTGCCTCCGCCAATTAATCAAGTGAAGTGCATCCAAAGGAAAAAAAAGCATAAATAAATAAGTCAATTAATTAGACGTATTTTTGGAATCTTAAAGGGGCCAAAGTTCAGGGGGGGGAGGGAAACCTGTAAAATTGTTCGATTCTCATGAATTTGAAGAAGCAGCAAGAAATGGCCATTAAAATTATTCGAATTCATGGCTGAAAATGAAAGAGGAAAAACTTCCAACAATATCAATTTCTTGACGCCGCCTTCAAAGAGTTTGAGAAAAACGAAATGGAAAATGGGAAAGTTGAAAAGATATTCTAAATTGGCTGCTAGTTAAATGTGTTTAGCCAGTGTATGTGTGTGTGTGTGTGTCTGAGTGTTTGTAAGTGATAAAAAGAAAAACTAAAAATTGCCAAATAAACACTTTTCGCAAGTCAATTGGATATAGGGTAGTTGGTATTCGTTGTGTTTGGGCGTAACATATATACACTGCAAAAAATTAAAGAAATTTTAAATTTTTTTAAAGAAATTTTGAAATGCAATTGCATTTCATAACACAACTGAATAATTTTAAATTTCTACACTAAAATAAATATCAAAGCAATTGAATATATTATATATACACCAATTATATAAGTATTCTTTCCTTTTATTAACTTTTGAAAATTCTTACCCAAAGTTAGGGCAAATATTGATCTTGAAATCTTCTCGTTCAAATTGGTTGCAATCGGGCTGAAAGCGCGTGTAGAAAGCGGAAGGCAAAAAAGAAACAAGTTTCGATGCGGAGTAAAACTTAATTTTGATTGCTCAAATATTAAACTTAAATAAAACACTTTTTCATGCTCATTTCTCCCAAAGGCTAAGATATTTTCCATTAAAGAAAGGTGTTTCTCTCAGTGTAGAAATAGAGCAACAATTAGACTCAAAGAAAGGAATAAACGTTTAAAATGAATATATAATTTTTTTAAATAAATCCCTTTTTACTTTTATTATTTTTTATAAAAACTCTCTTCCAATCTAATTTTGCCTAAAGAATAAGATGTTTTTCGATTATACTTAAGTTTTTCTCTCAAAGATAAGTTTTTCCCTCCAAGAAATAGGCCAAAAGAAGAAAGGAACAAGTTTCGATCTTTTTCCTTTTTGTTTTAAATAAACGTCCTTACTCTTTTATTCATTTATTCATGCTCATTTCCCTAAGAACAAGCTGTTTTTCTATAAAAGAAAAGTTTTTCTCTTTGTGCAGAAAAAGACATAAAACAAGAGAGAAACAAGAATCGCAGCTGAGTATAATTTATTTTGTATTTTTTAAATGCATCCCTTCATGTTCTTTTGTTTTTTTTTGTGAGAAGAAAAATATCTTTCATTCTGATTTCTTCAATTTTCCAATTAGAGACAAGTGTTTCTCCAAGTGTAGAAACAGCGCAACAAATAGACACAAATCGACAGACGAATTGCAACGAATGCAACAAACGGCAGTAAAAAGCTGCCGCATGAAATGCAAATGGCCAAAGAAAAATGCGGTCGCTGCCGATCATTCAAATGCATATTTGTATATATGCCACAATAATAATAATAATAATAATAATAGTAATAATAATAGTAATAATATTATATTATTATTGCTAATACTTCTTGCTGTGGCGACTGTTGTTCTTCTTGTTCTTCCCCTCGTCTCTTAATTAATTTTGCCAACATAATTTCTAATTAGTTTTTCGCAAATGAAAAATGAATTATTATATGCACGCATCTTCTTAATACCCTGTAAAATTAGATATGCAGTTGTTTAAGCTATGCCGCAAGTTTGTTCAAGTTAAAGAAATTGTTTTAGTTTGTCAATGGGAAGGTATTCATCCGATCTTTCACGCATTACATTTACAGGGTATCTTCTAGTCTCTCTCTCTCTCGCGCTCTCTCTCTGCCTTTGCCCCTGTTAATTTTCATTATTTTTTTTCTGTTGCTGCCCAAGTGCGAAATTTCTTATAATGCGCCAAATAATTAATAGTATGGAAAATGTAATAGGAGCTGGCACTAAGTGGGCGTGGCAAACGTGGCTGGCTGCTTTAACCCTGTGCCCTGCCCGTCGCCCACTTCCCCCTGCCATCATGCTATGAATACAAATGTGAGGGGCGTTTGCAATTGCAAGGCTAAAATATTAAGCATACGCCATGGACTGCAGGTTCAAATAGCTCCAAATTAATTGGAAAATAAAGCAAGAGCGCAATAGAGGAGTCTACTACGAAATTATGTACACTTATTAATGCGCTTTTTATAATTAATTAAACTAGCCAACAAGTGAGCGTTAGTGGGGGAGTGTGAGTGGGGGGAGGGAGTGGGGAGGGGGTGTAAAAGAAGTTGCATTATTAATGAGCTCTGACAAAATATTGCTGTAAATTACAACGAGAAACAAAATTAATGAAAAATCGAATATATTTTATAGCTGCACTCAATTTCGAGTTATAATAATTAATGAAAGCCTGCGCTGAAAAATATTCGTATTTAAAATAAGCTGCTCAGCTGACAGGCCGAAAACAAACGGCATAATGTATGTGAGCATGTCTTACATTTTACCACATGAAAAAATTCAGCTCTTAAGAAGGAATCTCCAATACGCTCAATTAATAAGAGCTTTTCATGCAATTAAAAATAGTTATATTGGGCGGATAATTGGTTACAAGAGAAAATTGCTTTGATAATTTGTGAGCGAAAATCTGAAAAAGAGTGAAAAGTCTTAAGGAATTTGGTTGCAAGTTCGAAAAATAATAGTAGAGACTGTAGCAAAAAGCTCTCTATTTTTAATATAAACTACTGTAAAGCTATTTTCACAGATCTTTTGATAGATTCATTGAGTGAAAGGCAAGTAAGCACAGCAAAAGTTGTATGCAGCTCGTGCCGAGGAAAACAGTTTTCAAATTTAAAGCCAAGCTCTCTTCCTTTTCCTTTAGCTGGTTTGTAGACAAATCTCATTTTCATTTATATTTTCCGATGTATTTCGTACTGTACATGAGGGCGAGTGAAGCTTCTTAATATTACTTAACCGATCTTATCTTGTGCTCTTGACTTACTTGCAAATAATTACAGTTTTTTATTTTAATAGAATTTCGTAGCTATTGAAAGTGGGTAAAAATCAGTTAAAAGTTTTGTGCAAATGTTACAACAGAAAGAAGGAAGCATCTCCTATTCCATAAAGTTTATATAGTCTTGGTCAGCATCAATAGCCGAGTCGATATATCCATGATGAACTGCGAACCTATAGGAACCTATAACGCAGATCCTGCAAGTGCTTGCGCAGCACGAGTTTCATTCTTTCCGGTTATCGATAACTTGCCACGTTTTCAAGCAATCGATAAAAATCGATTATGAGTCAACAAATTTGACATGAAACTTCTAGAAAAGCAGAAAAACCGATCAAGTATCTTTGATTTTAGAGCTACTTCCGTGCCCTGCCCACCTCTTGCGTGAGCTGGCTTCGGTGGTTGGTAGAAGAAGGTTCAGAGTATCCTCTAGTCGGGCACTCCCGACAAGAGCCCACTTACTTGTTGTTCTCCCTATTGTCAGCTAAAGGTGATCCGTTCTCTTCATTAGCCCGAACCACTTAATGTGCCTGCCGCTTAACGGCTTTTAGTCGCACTTATTAACATGCTTCCCTCGCGCGTTTCGCCCCCCTCCCCCTTTATAGGGTAGCAGAGGTCTATCAGCGGCTGCAGACAGCTCGACGCGGTGCCTCGCAGCAGAATTGAAATGAACGCAACTCAATTCGATTCACGCACACACAAGTTGCTTGTGGGCATTGGTTGGAGGGGTTGTGCGGAGGGTAGGTGGGGGGTAGGGTGTATGGTAGGATAGTGGCTAACTGGTAGAGGCTTTCCACGAATTTTTCGACCACTTCCGTTGGCCACCCAGTTACTGGTTAACAGTTCGCTTACTGGTTTTTGCTCTCTCTCTCTCTCTCTCTCTCTCACTCTCACTCCCGCTCGCTGCTAATTCGCATTAATCATACGCCGCGTTGTGCACAGCATTTATTTATTTTATTTTTGCAGCTCGCCGCATTGAAACATGAAAATATGAAATTCAGACAAAACAGCAGAAACCAGCAACAGCAGCAACAACAGCAGCAACAACAACAACAGCCGCAAAGCTTTTTCGCATTTTTATTTTTACACGCAAATTTACTGACTGTCGACGACGGCGACGTCGACGTCGTCAACTTTTGCCGTCTTACTCACAGCCGCTGTCAACGCTGGCGTCGCTGCCGGCGCTGCTATTGCTTATTTTAATGTGTCAAGGTTCGCGGCATCATATTTTGCGCTTTATTTCAGTGCGCCTCAATCGTAGAAAATTATTTTAGCCCCCGCGACTGATACGAAGAAAGAGAGCGAGAGAGCGGCAGAGAGAATGGGGGGCGGCAGGAAATAAGAGGGCAGTAACAAAGAACTCTCTCAAATACACTGCGAGCTTTCGACTTTCTTCTCGAGAAAAGAATTGAAACTTAGCGATTTGCACTGAGAGAAAAAAGGGGGACCTCAATTATGTTTGGGTGAGCTTCAATTAAGTATTTGAGAGATTTTGTATTGAGATACTTACCTAATATTTGAGATACTTACGGAATGAGTCTTAGTATCGATAGGGAATAGGCAAACTTGTTAAAAATGGAAACAAAAAATATTTAAACTGTTTCCAGAAATCTCTTAAAAGCAAATTATCATAAAGTAAATAAACCCCCCAAAGAATATCCAAAAAATATGTGCAGCTGACTAGTTCTTGCCCCTTGGACTGTGCCTCGATTATCAGTCAGTCAGTCAATCAGTCAGTCTGAAAAGTTCAATATATAGGCAAAAGTTACATCACAAGTAATCTGAACAATCAAATAGCTTATTCTCCATTTACTTCAGCAAAGCTCTGTATATTTGGGTAGATAAGCTCTAGACATATGGATCGATATATGCAGATGCATTTCTATGAATCTAACCTAAAAATCGTTTTCATCTGCGCCTTATCTGCAAGATATATGAAAGTATATATATTTAACCAGAAATATACATTATCTTGATTTTATTTTGCTAAGGAAATACCTCATGGGTTTGTTGGCATTAAAGGGGATATGGCAGGGAGCGGGGGTCAAGAAGAAGAAGAAGACAACGAAAAAGACATATCGATAAATGTAAATTCAGTGCTTGGCTGGGGCGTGTGTTGGTGGATAGGGGGAGGGGGGGGGGGTTCAGTTGTAAATTGGAAGACGGCAGCAGTGTGAAACGAAGTTGTAGTTTTAGGTGAGCTGCGAAAGTGTGTAAGAAAGCGTAAGAGAAACAGGGACAGAGTGCGAGAAGGGAACGGCAAGAAGCGGTTCCCCCCAGCGAGCGAGCGAGTGAGCAAAACATTTTTATTACCGCAGCGGAGTCGTAAAAAACTAAATTACTTTTAAGTTTGTAAATTGTACGAGTTGCTTTAACGCTCTAAACGGGCCTCCACATTGGACCTGTCGCTCACTGTGTGTGTGTGAGCGTGTGTGTGTGTGTCAATGTGTGTGTGTGTGTGTTTGCGTTTGTGTGTGCTTGTGTAACATAAGCTTAATATTATGGCAAGCTATGCCCCCCGCCAACCGCTCATTGCCCAAGCGCAAGAGTTTTGCATTCTTTGTGTCACGTTTCCATCGAGAGATGCCCACAGAGCGAGCCGCACAGGAGGTGAGAAAGCTCTGCCAACACGAAACAAGTTGCGAGTGCTCGACTGGCAAATACCCTGTGGCCAGACGCTGTAAATATTAACATGTCTCCCCTAACAAATGTGTCTGACTTTTGTATAAGAGAGAAGTTACTCGCCTTATCTAATACCTATCGATATATTCATATTTATCGATATTTTTATAAACAAGCAACATTGTTTATGGTGTCTAGCACATATTTGCACAGAATACCAATATACCCTATTCAAAGAATTTCAATGGGTATATTGTATCAAAAACCCAGAGTGTGCGAGGGGGTGAAACGGGGCAGGGGCCCTCCCCCAGCAAGAAAAACAAATTTATGAAACGGCATTTATTCATAATGAGCCGAGCGAATGGGAAAAGTGTTTGGCGCGTGTATCGGTTCACTCGGTTTTTATGGCCACAACGGACACTGAGAAGATTGCGAGTACCCAGCCAGAGGCAATATTGCATTGAGTGTGAGTGTGAGTGTGTGTGTGTGAGAGTGTGTGTGCGTGTGTGTCTGTGTGTCATAAAGTTATTAACTAGTGCTGCGACTGTTCGGATTAGGGAAAGTGCCTGACTATGTCGGAGTGAAATACACATAAAGTTTATGTGAATCATTTTATTATGAATATGAATATCGCAAATGATGTGCACTAAGAGTATCGAATATGTATTCGATTGCTTTTGTCTTGTGAATTTGATGCGCATTATTTTGTGAAAGTGATAAATTGATTAAAAGTACTCATGATTCTATATGAATACTTTGAAATATTAAAAAAATTACTCATTTTTTATAGCTGACTGAATTGTTATCGCTAATCAAGTATTTTAGGTTCGATTTAAAATGAGTATTAACATAAAATCATATTCATGTTTGAATATAGTTATGTATTTGGTTTTTTAAACAAATTGTTTGGAAAGTGTTTAATTGTGAAATGAATACACTCGAAACACTCACTTCATTCGTTCTCCCACGAATGAAGTAAAAACAATGAATATTGAAACACCCACTTTAACTGTACCCACACAAAAAACTGCTCCCAGTGCTTGCGACGTAATCCCGTGTCAGTTTACCGTTCAATCCATTTCGCAACTTCCTCCACTACGTGTAAATGCATATACACACGTATATACATATATGCATGGGTGTGTGTATGCACATATGTATGTATGAGAGTGCTCTTCTTCTGCCGCTGCGCTGCCTTTTGTCAAACCCTAAGCGCTATCCGCACGTACAAACAGAAGTGTAATGAAACAGCGAGAAGAACAAGACACAAAAAAAAAGAAACACTCGCTTTGTCCAGACGCGCCGCTGCCCGCGCACCTCGCGCGACCCTTGGTCTCTGCTGCGCCTATGCGCTGCTATTTTGTATACATTTTGCATTAATTAAAAACAAAATAAATAGCAAAAGTCGCGCGCGCGGTCTGCCGATTCGATCCAAGCCGAGCCGAGCCGAGCCGAGACGAACCGAGCCGAGTCGACCTGGCGCGAGCCGAATCGAGCCGAGCCGATCAGATGCGAGCTATGGCCGATGCGGTGAGGGGCGACGAGGCGAGAAAATAAAACTGAAAAGCAAACACATTCTGATTTAAATGTGATTGTTTTTCTTTTTGTTTTTTGTTGCTTTTCATTCTTGCGCTAAAAGCACAGCAGGCAACAAGCAGCAGCAAAACAAAACAAAAGCAGCGACGTCGACAGCGCTGGCTTGCTCACGCCTCATGCCTGCTACTCACGCTCTCGTAGTCTGTTTGCAGTTGTGCGGCCGACGTCGCTGCTGATTAGAAGTGTCTTTTGAGTATTTTGTTCGGTTGCTGTTGTTGTTGGTGTTGTTGTCTTTGCGCACTTGCGTTTTTGTGTTCATTCTCTTCGCTTTTGTCTTTTGTATGTTTTCAATAAATTTTTGTGCACGCCTTGCAGTGCATTTCTTTTGATTATTTTTGTCAAGTCAGCGCATTTTGCGCTCGCCTTTTGTTGCTGTTCTTGTTGAACTTTTGTGTAAAGTGTTAATCGAATTGTCACTCCTCGTATGCAGCTGCCCAATCAAATTGCAATCAAAAGAGACTCAATCAGAAGCAAATTAAGAAAAACGTAAAACCAAAAACAAAATCAAAATCAAAAACAAAAACAAAAACACAAATGCGCGCACGCAGCAAACGCAACAAAATGCACAACTGTCGACGCTTAGCAACACTGTCGACGTTCTACAACACTACCGGACGACAGCGCCACTTTTATCAAGTCTAAGCGGCGCCGCAAACCTCCTAAGTGATCAAACATAATCTCAAATCGTAACAGTTTCTCAAAATATAGACTTCAATTCTAAAACTCAACTTAACCTCAACTCTTAACTCGCACATGCTGTAAAACTGTATCTTATAAATACTTTGCCTAATCGAGCATAAACACTAAAAAACTATATCTATGAATATTTGGGTAAGACGCAAATTCAATTACTTTTAAATACCATATTACATATGCAACTGTAAGGCCTGACATTGATTGAATGATTGATTGACTGACTGACTGAGTGAGAGCTGAGTAGCTGTATTTTTAATAGAGGTTGGCTTTTCTGACATTTTGATGGTATGGTATATTTTGATAAGTGAAACTTTTTGTTTATAATCTATTCGAGTTTAAAATCATAACAAATATTATTGTGAAAATAGTTTCTCGCTTTTGGTACAGTTAGAGAAGTGTGTTAAGAAATCTTCCGATTGCTTTTTAACACACTTTCTAGTGGTTTTGCAGAATTCACTCACACAGGTGGAATATAAGCGAAAAACTTGTTTTTAATATTATAAGAAATGCTTGACCCGCGCAATGCCGGGTTATAATTTTTGTCGTGTCATGCACATTTTAAAATTATTTGAAAAATATTCTTTTGCAGCAACAAAAAATCCTAAAACGACCAGCGGACGATGTTGACAATGGCGCCGAGAATTATGAACCGCCGCACAAGTTGCCCAATAATAACAACAATAACAATAATAATAACAATAACAACAACAACAGCTCAAGCGGCGTTGGCGGCGGCTCAGAGAATCTAACCAAGTTCTCCGTGGAGATTGTGCAACAACTGGAGTTCACGACATCGGCGGCCAATTCGCAGCCGCAGCAGATCAGCACCAATGTCACAGTAAAGGCGCTGACCAACACCTCCGTCAAGAGCGAACCGGGCGTGGGCGGCGGGGGAGGAGGGGGCGCCGATCAGCAGCAACAGCAGCACCAGCAACATCAGCAGCAGCAGCATCAGCAGCAACATCAGCAACATCAGCAGCATCAGCAGCAACAGCAGCATCAGCAGCAGCAGCATCAGCAGCAGCAACACCAGCAACAGCAACAACAACATCACCACCAGCAGCAGCAACAACAAGGCGGCGGTCTGGGTGGCCTCGGCAATAATGGGCGGGGCGGCGGGGGTCCTGGCGGCGGTGGCCACATGGCCACAGGACCCGGCGGCGTTGGCGTTGGCATGGGACCCAACATGATGTCCGCCCAGCAAAAGTCCGCCCTCGGCAATTTGGCCAATTTGGTCGAATGCAAACGGGAGCCGGATCATGATTTTCCGGACTTGGGCTCGCTGGACAAGGACGGCGCCAATGGCCAGTTTCCCGGATTTCCGGATCTGCTGGGCGATGACAACTCCGAGAACAATGACACATTCAAGGATCTCATCAACAATCTGCACGACTTCAATCCCAGTTTCCTTGACGGCTTCGACGAAAAGCCGCTGCTGGACATCAAGACCGAGGATGGCATCAAAGTGGAGCCGCCCAATGCCCAGGATCTGATCAACAGCCTGAATGTAAAGTCCGAGACGGGTCTGGGCCATGGCTTTGGCGGCTTCGGCGTTGGCCTCGGTCTCGATCCGCAGTCCATGAAAATGCGTCCTGGCGTTGGCTTCCAGAACGGACCCAACGGCAATGCCAATGCTGGCAACGGCGGTCCCACAGCGGGCGGCGGCGGTGGCGGCAATGGCCCCGGCGGACTCATGTCCGAGCACTCGCTGGCCGCGCAGACGCTCAAGCAAATGGCCGAGCAGCATCAGCACAAGAGCGCCATGGGCGGCATGGGCGGCTTTCCACGTCCGCCGCACGGCATGCAGCAGCAACAGCCGCAACAGCAACAGCAGGCGCCGCAGCAGCAGCAGCAGCAACATGGCCAAATGATGGGCGGTCCGGGCCAAGGACAGCAGCAGCAGCAGCAGCAGCAGCCGCGCTACAATGACTACGGCGGCGGTTTTCCCAATGACTTCGCCATGGGCCCGAATCCCACGCAGCAGCAGCAGCAACACTTGCCGCCGCAGTTCCATCAAAAGGCACCGGGCGGCGGGCCCGGCATGAATGTGCAGCAAAACTTTTTGGATATCAAACAGGAGCTCTTCTATTCCTCACCAAACGATTTCGATCTCAAGCGTCTGCAGCAGCAGCAGGCCATGCAGCAGCAGCAGCAGCAGCAGCAACAGCAGCAACAGCAGCAGCAACATCATGCACAGCAGCAACAGCAGCATCCTAATGGCCCCAAGATGGGCGTACCCATGGGCGGGGCTGGCAACTTTGCCAAGCAGCAGCAGCAACAGGTGCCTACGCCGCAGCAGCAGCAGCAGCAACAGCTGCAGCAACAACAACAACAATACTCGCCATTCAGCAATCAAAACGCCAACGCCAACTTCCTCAACTGCCCGCCACGCGGCGGCCCTCAAGGCAACCAGGCGCCGGGCAATATGCCTCAGCAGCAGCAGCAGCCGCAACAGCAGCAGCAGCCGCCACGCGGCCCGCAGTCGAATCCCAATGCGGTGCCTGGCGGCAATGCAGCCAATGCAACGCAGCAGCAACAGCAGCAGCAGCAACAACAACAACAGCAGCAGCAGCAGCAGCAACAACAGCAGCAGCAGGCAACAACAACCACGCTGCAAATGAAACAAACCCAGCAGCTGCACATAAGTCAACAGGGCGGCGGCTCTCACGGCATTCAGGTGAGTTTCAACCAAATATATATTTGCGTGCTGCTGGCGCTGACCGGGTAGCGCACAGCAACAACTCGCAGCAGCTACAATATTGCCCCCTTGAGATTGCTGCTTATCCAGTAATATAATGCTACTTAATACCATTGACACGTATGTAAATTTCCTATGCATATTTAAGTTATCAGCGTAACGAAGTCAACAGCTTTGACAAAAATCCGGCATTGCCAAGCAACAGCAACAGCAGCAGCAGCATCAGCAGCAGCGACGCTGACGCCAGCGCCGACTGCGCTGCTTGCATGGCAAGTGTAAAGTTTCGACCATAACCATTCACACAATTGACATACAAAAGTCGCCCGAGCAGGGACGTTACATGATTTGCCAGGCGCCCGAGCAGGGACGCTAGACGCTTGCCAGGCGCCCGAGCAGGGACTCAATTTTTTCTGGTGGTTGTGCTCGCATTTTAATGCACTCGCAACTGACTCAAAAATGCGCTCACTCACACACACACACACACACACACACACACACACACTCGCACTCACGCTCTCTCACTCGTCGCTCGCTCTCTTAGCTCTCTCAATCACTCGCTCAGGCGTTTAACCCTCCTTTGGCAACGTCCGCCCAAATTTATCTCTGTCCATTAATTTTACCACACATCTGTTCATAAAATTGTCAGTCGAGCTGGCGTTCGGCTTCAGTGTGCTGCTCGTGCCGCGTCGGGCAGCAGCAAACAGCAGCTGCGTCGGACCCGCACCAGCGACCGAGCCAGGACTGTGGCCATGTGCGCCATTTTCATTACGTGCCGCACGATTCAAAGCAGCAGCAAAAAAGACAGTTAACTGTTGTTGCTGCTGTGTTCCATTTGTGCCTATATTCCGGCATTCGAGTAAGGTTGAATAAGGCTGATAAAGTACTCGTCCAGCTCCATGTCCTTTCGCTGGCTTCTAGCATGAAGCGTCCAGTCATCCAGTCATCCCGTTGTCACTGAGCAGAGCGTTACTCAGATTCTCATTTCCGCTGGCAATTGGCCTGCAGGCGTGTCATATTGTAGTTAATCGCTTTGAATACCTGTGTGCCGCATTCGTATGAATAAAATATGTAATTACAGGATACACAATGTTTATGATTACGTACTCACATAAGAGCAAAGGAGCTTTGAATAAGGACAGCAGCGAGTCATTCACTACTCATTCCATGCATATATTCATTTGAAATTTATTTATTTTTTGATTTATTCATAACTGTATTCACCAAAGCATAAAAATGACAAAAGCTTTGTCCTGTTTACATTAATACGCATACTAATCATTGGACACTCATGAGTGTATTCATTTACAATTTTATTTTTACTTTTAATACGAATACATATATTCACGCAAGCACAAGATTGACTAAACCCTTGACTTGTATACATTAGCATTCAACGTATTCATTATACACCCATGAGTGTATTCATTTCTAATTTTGTTTTTACTTGTAACATGAATGCCTATATTCAACCAAGCAATAGATTAACTAAAGTCTTTCTTTGTATTCATTTGTATTCAAACTATTCATTGTACAATCGTGAGTGTATTCACATTTATTTTGGAGAATATTTTTAATATGCATGTCTTATGCAATGAATGCTACTTAAAATATTCATGAATACACTCATGAGTGTATTCACTTATTCATACACCATTTTGATTGTATTTTTGATGAGATTATTCAGATAGTCATATAGCAACTCACATTCAAATCATCTAATGTTATTCACATTACTTTATTCACAAGTAACTCAATGCACATTTGCAGCGTTGAAAACATCTTTTGTCTGAACTTTATGGCAGGACCTCATTTCTCTTTACCGCTATCCCTCTCTCGAGAGTCTCATTACAGGTTGTGGGGAGCAGCTCTTCACTCAAATGATATTCTTGTATTCAGACATGGCACATGCCCTACCTAACCCATATTCATTATCCGCTCCAAATTGTTTTCCTGCTATTTCATAGCAACAGCAACAGCAACAACAGCAACAGCAACAGCAGCAGCAACAACAAATACAACATTTCATTTACAAAATGAAAGTGCAAAACTTTTTAAGTTAAGTTTCATGTCGCTGAGTAGTTTTCATCAGAAAAGCAGCCAAAAAACGAGGAGCGAACAGAACGAACAACTCGTTGGGTGCTCGAGTTGTTGTTGTTGCAGTTGCTGTCGTTGTTGCTGTTGCTGTTGCTGCTGTTGCTGCTGCTGCTGCTGCTTTTGGCTTTGCCTTTGCTAAAGGACACGGTTGAAATTTCCGTTTTGCGCTTTAGCCTGGTCCAGGCTGGTCCAAGCTCAAGTTTTCCCATGAATTTTGTTCATGCATTACCAAGTGGTAGCCACGGCTCCCTCCCCCTCCCCCTACCCTTACCCCTACCTCTCCACTCAGTGCGCAACCCCTGCCTGCATATAGAAATAGTTGTGCAAGTGGAGAGCCAAGCTCTGGCCGCAACGAGCCAAGCAGATTGGCAAAAACTTGTTGACGATTGAGATTGAAATTTGGTTTAGTTCCCGCTGCCGGACAACCCAACCCACCAACACCAACCCCTGCCCCACCACGCCTCAACCGGATTTTAGAAGTTGCCACCCTGCGAACATTAGCGTCCAGTTTTACAGCCCCCGTCAAAATCAACGCGTAGGACGGGTGCGTTTTATCTTCTGGTCGAATGAAAGGTCTCAAGTCAACACGTATAGACACTTGGCTCTAACGATATATTTGCATAGGACTCATTAAGAAACCCAGAATTGCCCGTGGCAACCCCAAAAAAAAACAAAAGCCTTCGACAGGGAAGCTGCAAAAAAAAAAAAACCAATTGAAGCACTCGACTGCAAGAAATGAACACGCATCGTGTAAAATGTACAAGAAATATTCCAACACAAAGAAAGGCGAAGAAACCACAGCGAAGAAGAGAAAGATAACAAAAAAAAAAACACACTCACACACACACAAATGAAATGAAAATAAATCTTCCTGGTAAATATTTGCCTAACGAGCTTTTTAGATGTCCTAACGAACGGTAGAGGGCGGGAGAGTGAGAGAGAAAGAGTAAGAGAGGGGGGGGCAAGAAAAAGGGGTACAAGCCAAGTGCATAATAAAGTCCAAAAGAAATTGGAATGTTCAGTATAAATGTCATTTAAATAACATGCTTAAAAGAGAATATGTAAGTCTCTCCATTGATATTCAGGTTTTTACGCCGAGTTCAATTATTCATGCATATCTCGAGTACTTTTTCTTTAACGCAAGAGAGAGAGAGAGAGAAAGTCTCTTAACGGTATTAAAACATGTAATAACAGTTGTAGGAATTTGGTCTTACTTAAAACATTGGACTATATACCTTTTGCTAATCAGAGAGTAGAGAAATAGTTTTGAATAGGTAAAAGGAAATTATGGATACATAAATGAAAAATAAAATGAATATAAAATAAAATATTGAACTTAAAAGAATACCCATTATGTAATGTAAAGAAAGCAGGCCTGAATTGTTCAAATAATATAAATATATATATATATATAAGTATGTAAAGCATTAAAGAAATGAGCCAAATGAATTAGTTTTGTGGCAGGGCATAAAAGATTCGACATTGTTCATTCAACCAACTCTAACTTGATAACCCACTCTGCCTGCCGCCCTCTCTCACTCCCTCGCTCTGCCAAACAACCTGACGCCGCAGTCAACGTCAGCGCTAACGAAGCCACACGATAGCAGCAGCAGCAGCGGCAGCAGCAGCAGCAGCAGCAGCGATGGCAACGGCAGCGACGTTGGCGTTGGCGTCGCTGTTGTTGTTGCTGTTATTGTCGACGTTGGCGTCGGCGTCGGTGTCTACATCGACGTTGGCGTTGGCGTTGGCGTTGGCGTCGATGTTGCTGTTGCTGTTGTTGTCTTTGCCGTTTGGGCCGTCGTGTAAAAGTTCAATGAATTCAGAATGTTCACATTTGCATGTCCTGCATTAACTCGTTAAAATGCCAGCTACAAACGAAACCCAAAAACAACAACAACGCAAACAGCAACAACAACAGCTACAACAACAATATGTTTGGAATGGCAGCAAGAATTTATATAAAATAAAATAATGCACGACTATATAACAGCACATAGAGTATTCGGGCATAAGAACAACATGAAAATGGCCGCGCGCACAAAAATATGCAACGGAAATGAGCGAAACGTGAAAATGTGCGGAAATTATATATTTCAAGGGTGCAGATTTGCAAGGGGTCGGAGGAGGATGGTGAGATGGGAGAAAGGGGGGTCTGGTTTTTAAAAGCGTGCCAGATTTTTATGACCCGCCGCGCCAAGTTAATGAAGTTGCGAGCTGCAAAAGATTCGAGAGTTCCTCACAACTGGACAACAAAATGGCAAATGGGAAAATGGAAAATGGCAAACAGAAAATTGCCTTTGTAATACTTTGCAGCGGGGGGGGGGGGAAGGGGGGGGGGGGGCAATAAATAATTTATAACCATATAACGTAACATATCTAAGGACCAAAAAAAAAAAAAAAAAAAAAAACATGAAATCAACTCAAGAATTGAGCTCAAAAGCCCCCAAAAAACGAGTCAAAATGATTTTGAGCCCAAGTTGAGACAAGTCGAGTTGAGATTCTGACTATGCGCCGGCGCCAAGGCAATAAAACGAAGTGAGATTGTGTTGGAAAGCGCAAAGAGTGGGTGCGACTAGCCAAATATCCTGGAAATTGCATGGAATTTGGTGTAAAGTAAACAAAAAAGTAAAGTAGAAGAAGAATATGCTACAAATACTTGCATATTTAAAATGTGAAATTCCTGTAAAACAAACAGATATATAATTATTATAATATTTTCTTATTTTGCTCTAAACTTTGATTGACACATTTATTATTAAATAGCCATGCCGCATGTGAGTCAAATGTATTGCAGGGTATCAGCATGCCTTGACTATCTGTTGGGTGGCTTGTTGACTGGGTGGTTGGCTGTCGTGGACTGCCTGGCGGGGGGGTCAGTGGGTAGA